GCCAGCAGCGGGGCTGACGGTCGTGCTGGCGCTGGTGGGCTCCCGCGTGGCAGCGCTGGTGGTGCTGGAGTTCTCCCTGCGCGCCGTCTCCACCGCCCTCTCGCTCGGCAAGGTGAGGCGGGACCTGGGAGGGGAAACTGAGGCACAGCCGGGCGGCGGCGCGGAGGGAGCCAGGAAACCGCGTCCCTTGCGGGTTTGCGAGGGCGTCGCTTCACTTTGCAGCCGCGCGTCACCTTGCAGCTTGGCAGCAACCGCGGGGGCTGCGGCGTGGAGGAGACCGTGCATCGCTTTGCGGCTGCGCGTCCGCTTGCTGCTTTGCAACACCCGTGGGGTTACAGGGGGCTGCAGCACGGAGAAAAAAATGTGCTGCTTTGCACGCATGCATGCCTTTGCAGCTCCTGGCTGCTTGCAACGCCTGTGAGGTTACAGGGGGTTGCAGCATGGAGAAAACCACGCATCGCTTTGCACACATGCAAGCTTTTGCTGCTTGCAACGCCTGTGCGAGGTGCAGCATGGTAAGAACCATGCATCGCTTTGCATACATGCACGCCTTTGCTGCTCCTTGCTGCCTGCAACACCTGCGCGGGGTGCAGCATGGAGAAAACCATGCATTGCTTTGCACGCATGCACACCTTTGCTGCTTGCAACATCTGTGTGGGGTGCAGCGTGGTGAAAGCCATGCATTGCTTTGCACACATGCACACTTTCACAGCTCTTTGCTGCTTGCAGTTCCTGCGCAGGGTGCAGCATAGAGAAAACCACGCATCGCTTTGCACACATGCACTCCTTTGCACCACCTTGCTGCTCGCAACACCTGTGCGGGGTGCAGCATGGAGAAAACCATGCATCACCATGCACGCCTTCGCAGCTCCTTGCCGCTCGCAACGCCTGCGCGGGGCGCAGCGGGGAGGAGGCCACGCGTTGCCTTGCAGCCGCACGGTCCCCTCGCCGGCAGCTGACGGTGCCATCCCGCTCTCGCAGGGTGCCCGCAGCTGCCAGCTCTACCTGCAGTGCCAGTACTCGCTGGGTTGCGGCGTGTCCTGCGGCCTCAGCTTCCTGCTGGAAGGGGCTCCCCACCGGACCTGCAACCTGGCGCTGGCGGCGGGGCTGGCGGGGCTGTTGGCCACCTACGCCCAGCGTCTGGCTCGTCACGTCTGCACCCTCTACGAGCTGCACAGCCAAGCGCGTTACTGCGGCGTCTGCATCCTCCTCCTCGCCTCCGGTCACGGTATCCCCCGGCTGCTTCGGAACGCTTTGAGCGTCACCTTTGCCGTGGCCGACCTGGCCGCTGTGGCGCTGGTCAACCGGGATTTCCTCTCGGTGGCCGAGGCTGCCCGCTTCTGGACGCCGCTCACCATCTGCTACGCGCTGCTGGTCGTCTACATGCAAGGTGAGAAGGGGGCTGAGACCCCCCTCCCAGTTATGGGGGTGGGTTTTGGGGGAGCTTAGGGGAGTATGGCCCAGTATGGGGCATCCTGGGGCTGTATAGGGTATATGTGGGGCATCCTGGGGGTGTATGGGGCATCCTGGGGCTGTATAGGGTGTATATGGGGCATCCTGGGGGTATATGGGGCAGTACGGGGCATCCTGAGCCTGTATAGGGTGTATATGTGGGCCACTTGGAGGTCTTGAGGGTATATATGGTGCATCCTGGGGCTGTACAGGGGGCAACCTGGAGCTGTTTAGAGTATATATGGGCATCCTGGGGGTATATGGGGACACAGAGGACCATCCTAGGGCTGTATAGAGGGTATATTTGGTAACCTAGGGTGTATATATGGGGCACGTGGGATATCCTGGAGGTATATGGGGCAGTATGGAGTATCCTGGGCCTGTATAGGATATATATGGGGCGTCCTGGGGGTGTATGGGGCATCCTGGGACTGCATAGGGGGTATATGGGGACCACCTGGCGCTGTTTAGGGTATATATGAGGCATTCTGGGGGGTATATGGGGACCACCTGGGGCTGTTTAGGGTATATATGGGGGCCACCTGGGGCTGCATAGAGGGTACATGGCACATCCTGGGGCTGTATGGAGGCGCAGGAGACAGCCTGGAGCTGTTTCAGGTATATATGGGGCATCCTGGGGGTCTCTGGGGGCACAGGGGGCCGTCCTGAGGCTGTATAGGGGGTATATTGGGCATCCTGGGAGCTACCTGGGTCTGTATAGGGGGTGTATAGGCTATCCTGGGGGTATATGGTGCAGTATGGGACATCCTGGGGTTGTGTAGGGAGTCACATAGGGCATCCTGGGGGTGTATGTGGCAGTATGGAGCATCTTGGGGCTTGGGGGTATATGGGGTATCCTGGGCCTGTATGGGGTATATATGGGGCATCCTGGGGGTATATGGTGCAGTATGGGACATCCTGGGGTTGTGTAGGGAGTCACATAGGGCATCCTGGGGGTGTATGTGGCAGTATGGAGCATCTTGGGGCTGTATAGAGGGTATGTGGGGGCCACATGGGGCTGTGTAGGGTGTATATGGGGCATCCTGGGTGAGTATGGGACATCCTGGGGGTATATAGGGGCACGCGGGGGACAGCCGGGGCTGGATAGGGTATATATGGGGCATCCTGGGTGAGTATGGGACATCCTGGGGGTATATAGGGGCACGCGGGGGACAGCCGGGGCTGGATAGGGTATATATGGGGCATCCTGGGTGAGTATGGGACATCCTGGGGGTATATAGGGGCACGCGGGGGCCACCCGGGGCTGTATAGGGTATATATGGGGCATCCTGGTGCTATATGCCAAGGCACCCTGTAGCATCCCTGGGTGGGGGGGACCCGCACAGTGGGTCCTCCTGCGGTGAGCACCCCGACGCCGCATCCTCGCAGAGGAGCCACGGGCAAGCGCGGGCGGACGGGCGGTTTACCAGACGGCACTGGTGCGACTGGGCGGCCTCTTCATCCTCCTCCTCACCGTCGGCCGCTGGAGTGACGTCCTCCACGTCTTCATCTCGCTCCTGGGAGAGTTCTGGTGCCTTCTCCATGCCAGAGCCATGCTGGAGGCGTGCCAGCAGCAGGTGAGATGTGTTCGGGGGGATGTCAGCCCCCCGCCACGACGCCGGGCTGAAGGAGGGGGGGCGGCAGCC